TCTTTCCCAAAGTAAAACCATCACCCCAAGAACTGCATGGGAAAAAATCTGTTGTTACCTGTGTTTCCCCTCCAAGAGGCAAACAGGTATAATCCAGGAGAAAAGTCAGTCGCATTCTGCTTCTCTGTCCGGAGCAAATATGCACATATGGAAGATGAGAGGTAGATGGGAAAGGGTCCTGGTGCTGTCCTAGGTTTGTGTTCCTCCTCCTCTGCACACAGGAGAAACAGGTGAGAGGTTGCCATGTCAGCTTTAAAGAGAAGGGTAAGAAAGTGATGACTCCAGAAATGGAGGCGAGCTACTTTTAATTGCTTGGAGAGTGACTTATCGTTCCTGAGTGACCGTCTGTCCCCCACTGTCTTGAAGCACCGTGTGACTGTTCATGCTGTCAGTAATCCCAAGAAATCCCAATTATCCCATTATCCTGCACCAGTACACTATTACTACTGGAAGAAGACCTCACTATGGACATCCCATTTTTGTTGTTCAAGACCATCCTTCGTTTTCTATGTGCTGTGCAGAAATTAGAGATAATACGTTGCAACAAAAGCAAGTGGTTAGTTGGTGACTTTCTTAGGGCTGGTTGATCAACCACCTATGATTTCACTATGGGCAAAATATTCCATGAATCCAAGAAGGCCACTGTGTAGGTAGCAGTTTAACTCTTAAAATCTCATTAAGGTGTCGTTTGTTAGCGAGGGCTGCATGTCCTGATGCCTGGCAGAAGTTGGGTCAGCATACCAAAGCAGTGATGTGGGTTTTCTGGGAGGAAATTTCCAATTAAAAGTTAAATACTTAAACGATACTAGAAAAATGTTAACTAACGTTAGCAGAAAAGGAAGACAAATAGAGTATGTGCAAGCACTGGGGTTTGTCCGGGCTTCACATCCCACATTTAGCCCATCAAACAGTTATTTGCAGCAAAACAAGCCTGGACAATTGTAGATAAGCAGGCTGTATTTAGATTCCTGGGACAGAAATTTTTCCATGGAAAAATAGAACATTGAATCACGTAACTGTACCGGAGCTTCTCTGCTTGGCTACCTGCTGTGGCTAGCGATATTGTCAGGCAGGTACGCAAGCAGTTGTTATTGGCAGAGGCCGTTCCCAATACAATTTTCAGCACAAATCTCACAATAATAAATAATTTGTTTTTTGTGATTAGCACCAGTTGGTAGTCGTATTACATCTAGTGTTCTGATAACATTAATTCTTCCAGAGGAGTTGGCTGAAGCCTGAGGAAAGGTCTTGTGAGGGATAATGAAATCATTGTCTAAGAGGGGCTAAAGAGAAGGTGCAGACTAGGCTATGGGTTGAAAAAGAGATATCTGGGGAAGGGCCATGGCTTAGGGGTAGAGCCTCTGCTTTGCATGCAGAAAGTCCCAGGTTCAATCCTCGGCTTTTCCAGTTAAAAGGACCAGGTAGGTAGGTGATATGAAAGACTTCCACCTGAGATCCTGGACAGCCGCTGCCAGTTTGAGTAGAAAGTACTGACCTTGATGGAGACTTCAGTGGCCTAATTCAGTATAATGAAGATTCATATGTATTCAAAAAGGGGTGTTGGATGACAAGAGTATAGTGAATGAGTGCAAAGAGGGGCTAATTAGAGAACTGGTATTTTAAAGAAGCCTGAGATCAGGAGGAGCTGACAAGGGAGAGGAGGGTCGTGGAAGCTGGTCAAGAGGCAAGGTAGCTAAAAGAAGGAGAATGTCATAGGCCGTAGCCTGAAGAGCAGGGAACTTGACCAATGATGGACGGTGAAGAAATGGAGATCACAAGGCAAAGGGGAAATTCAGGTTTAGGGCTGGGCAGGAAGGAAATGGGCAAGGAAGGTGTGGCTCGCTGGCCGAGCCCGTGTGCTATTCTGCCAAAGGGTCTAGGATTCCTGTGACCAGACTCATGCAAGATGTTTCACCAATAACAACAGTCTTCATTGGCATATTGTCACCTAACAACCTGGGGGGGGGGGGCAGAGTAAACAATGCTGTAGTAGGTGGTGGTAGAGGTGAATTTCATACATTCTATTTTTTTAAATTTATATTATTTTAATTTATATTTGACTTATATCCCGCCCTCCCCATAATGTAGGCTCAGGGCAGGTACTAATATATAGGTCTGCAATTAATGCAGATTTACAATTAAAACATAATGTAATAATCCATTAATCAATAAAATCACCAGCATTGAAACAACAACATGCCTTAAACTAACCAGCCAGTATTTTATCCGTGGCCTTCTAGTAGCATGCTTTATGCTTTGAAACATGGTTGCTTAGGCAAACATAGGCTTGAGATTTGCTTTTTCCTCCTTCTCTGTAATAATTATCGAAAGGATAGAAGCTTAACTACTTACTTCTAGGGGATCTGGAGTACCATTTGCAAAGTTGTGCTAATCCTGGGGACCCTTATACATGTGTACATCCTGTACCTTTATGAGAAGTAAGTCGAAGAACATGCTCTTACCCCAAGCATCTTTGCTTGATTTTGATATTGGTTTTGCAGGGACAAACAGTAACTTAGGAAACAAGATAATTGGGTGTCCCCTGCAATGTATTGTATGTGTATGTTCTTGCCTGTGTTCCCTACTATATTTCTTGTAAATGGAGAATTGGGTGGAGTTCGTAGTTTGCAACCACTCAATAGTAGCATGAGACCAAACAAAAGTTCTTAATTTAATACTGTCAACAGGGCAATCCCATGCAGGTTTACTGCAGACTAAGCCCAGTGGAGTAACGCTATATAGGATTACACCGTGAATCTGTTCATCTGCATGAATTGAGCCAAAGAGAAATCATTTAATCTTTAGATCAGCTTTTGTAAACAATCCCTTGACCTCCCCTTGCATAAAGGGTAGCGGTTCATGTGGTAGCACATGACACTTGTTCACTCAAAGCAATGTGCTGAGTGCACAGTTCAGTATCCACCAAAATGATCGCAGCTCTTGCTTCATTTTTGTCATTTCTGTAGATAATAGGGATTGTTATATGTATTTTTGAAATTGCTATCTGCATTTCATGGCACACCCCTTTTTGTAAAAATCAGACAATATTCTGTTTGAATATATTAGAAACAAAGGAAGTGAGAGTCCTCCCTTCCTCTGCTAGAAGTATTTTTGTGATTCTATGCCCAGGTTTTACTCTCTCATCTCCATTATTGTATTAATTGGACGTGATGCATATGTCTCTTAAAGGTGTTCATGACTTCTTTTTTAAAAAAACAAACACATAATAATGGAAGCATTGTTGAAAACGAGTGGCTGGAATGAAATGCTCTCATCAGTAGATTCTTAATGCTTTCTCTGGAAATGTGTCAACACATTTTAGGTCTCCTATGTAATTAGAGATGAAGTGGAGAAGTACAATCGGAACGGCGTAAATGCACTGCAGCTGGACCCCGCGTTAAACCGACTCTTCACAGCAGGCCGCGACTCCATCATCAGGATATGGAGTGTCAACCAGCACAAGGTGACGCAGACATAATGTTTGTTTCTAAACTATGTACTTGGGAGGCTGGCGACTGTCCAACCAGCCAGTGTAATCTCTGAAAGTTTTGAAGATCATGTTCTTACTGCATTTGAAGCCTCTGCAGAGGTTTCTGTCATGTGTATAGTTCAGTTTGGCTTCTTCCATGATTTTAAGCCTATGGAAATAAACAGACAGCTTAGAATAATTTGCACCCTGTAATTTACATAACTGGGCATGAAACTAAGCACAGCTTGTTCATATAGCTTTTCAGTAATTATAATGGTATAATAAGAGGTAGATTCTGGCTTCTTTATTAAATTTGCTGGGGAGATTAAGGGAATCATTTTGGTTGTTCAGGGTAATTGTACTGAAACCCAGCCAAGATTGTCAGAGGTCACAAATGATCTGAAGAGGTTTCTCAACAAACCAGATACAGTATCTCATAATACAATTTTTAATTTCAGCAAGACCCTTATATAGCATCTATGGAACATCATACAGACTGGGTGAATGATATTGTCCTCTGTTGTAATGGCAAGACTTGTAAGTACCTCTTTTTTCCTTTTTTGAGGGAGAGGGCTGTTATGAGACTATGTAGTATGTAGCGATTTTCTTAGGTTCTTGAAGCACTTTGCAGATCTTACACTAATGTCATAAAATACACCACCCATCTTTTTCTGGAGACACATAGACCGCTATTTCACATGAGTCCGGAGAGCAGTTTGCAAGATACTGTGGGTTGAATCCTACGACTCTTTTCCACTCAACTTGATCCAGTCACTCCTTACCATTAAGATTTTCTGTCTCAAGGGAGACTTTCTGCGTAAGAGGATCCAGTTCTTTAAAACTCCAGTGTAAAAGAGCAGGTAACAGCCAACTGACACTGTCAGACAAATCATGCGTGGGAAATTCACCCCATAAATGTTTTTCTCTGGCATTGGACACGATAAAGCAGTGGTCTGCTCCCAGAAATGGAGATAACAAAGCTGAAGTTCCACTTCGGAGAAGGCCCCATTCCCAGGCACTTCTGGATGTATTTTCCCTTGAGCGGACAGGGGATCTCCTGTCGTCAGCCGCACATGGATCACCATGACCCCACACCAGCTCAATAAGCCTGAATACTTTCATTCACTGTTCAGGGGCAAGCTGGTTTTAGCTTTCCCAGTGTGGGGACCAAAACTGATGAATCTGTGTGGGATAGAGAACAAGCAAAGGCGGACCAGGCAGTGTAGGTTCGGGGTTCGAGAACGACACAAGACACGGATCTGCAGAATCTGTCTGACCCGGACTGGCTCAGCAGTGTTTTATTAGCTTCCCCCTTTTCCCCTCCCCCCTGCTACGTATATCCAAAGCTACAAGCATACAGTGAACTAAACTAACAGGAATGTGCTCTGCAGACAGCGCACCTCCTTATCTCCATCCCGCCGTAACCAAGTTTCTTCTCGCGGTGATCTCAGCAGATGTTTACTGGTACTTTGCTCACTGCTTCCCTTATCTCCCCGTGCAGACATTGACCTCCGGGCATGCCTTCAGAGGGTGCCGTCCCCACAAGGCAGCGGTTAGAAAAGCTTAGGTGGGACAGCAGTCTCATTCCTCTTGTTCTTATACCTTTTTTGCACGCTTTCCAGGGTAATACTTACCAGTAACCAATCATTTCCAATTGAACAGCATTCATAAAGACTTCTAAGTTTCTAAAGAAACATTAACCATGTCTTCTGACTACAGAAAAATAACCTATCGCAACCTTTTCCCTTATAGTAATATCTGCTTCCTCCGATACTACTGTTAAAGTATGGAATGCACACAAGGGATTTTGCATGTCCACACTAAGGACGCATAAGGTAATGACAAATCATATAAAATGCTATTCTAAGTAAAAACTGCAGTTAAAAACATAGAGCTGGAAGGGACCCCAAAGGCCATCTAATCCAACCCTTGCACAACGCAGGAAACTCAAAGTTACCTTCCCAGTCCCTCAGTGACCTCTTGCTGTGTGCCAGAGGAAGGCAAAAAACCTATGGCCTGGAGGAGAATTCCTTCCTGGCCCCAAAGTGGCAGTCAGCGTTACCCTGGCATATAAGAAAGGGCCACAAGAGCTGAGCACTGGCTCATCCCTTCCTGCCCTCCCTTTCACGATCTGCCTAAGTTCCTAGTTATTTAATTGGAACTGCCAAATACTTTACAGAATTGTGTATATCCTGCTTCTTAGTTCTATGTTGTCACATTGGTCTGCATGCTTTACTTTAGGATTATGTGAAAGCCTTGGCATACGCAAAAGATAAGGAACTGGTTGCGTCGGCTGGGCTGGACAGACAGATATTCCTCTGGGATGTAAATACGTTAACAGCACTGACTGCCTCAAATAACACTGTCACAAGTAAGTATCCAGGGAGAGTGAAGCGCTTGATAATCTGCAAGATATTTTGGGGGCTGGGCAGGAAAATACCCCTTGCAGCCTATCAGTTTTCCCATCTTCCTTTCTGTCTGCTAATCAGCTGGGCGGCAGGCCAAACTGCTGAGATAATGTGACTGTTACTTAGCAGTTGTAGTGCCCTGATAAAACAAAGAGAGGTATGACTGGGGCAGTAATGCTCTGTCTTCTTGGTGCTTGGGGGGCAGCAGTGGGAGGGCTTCTGGAGTTCTGGCCCCGCTGGTGGACCTCCTGATGGCCCCTGGATTTTGACCACTGTGTGACACAGAGTGTTGGACTGGATGGGCCACTGGCCTCATCCAGCGCTTCTCTTATGTTCTTGCGTTCTTATAACTGTAACAAAGATTTTTTTTAAGTACTAGGGCAGTTTTGGAACTGGCAGGCAATGAAGTGCAATAAGATGTTTTTGAACCAAGAAAAATGCAAGGGCAGGGTATTTGTATCCTATGAACTGGGTCAGAAACATTGTCCTCATGGAGTTTGGTAAATCCTAAATCCATCGAGGGGGGTAAGACTTTTTTCCAATGCAATCTTTTACTTAGGACAGGAAGTACTGGTAAACTAAGAATGCCACCTGATGGAAGTTGCATGTTTCTAGCCTTAGCTTCCAGCCCAAACTTCAGCACTACCTGCATGTTTAGACAGTATATTTAACCCGATAAATGCTTGTATTGGTGGACTGGAGTTCTATTGAAAATTTATCTGCATTCCCTGGACAGTAGCTTCTACCGTGTTGAGGATAACGGCTAGTAACGGCCAGTGAGGCATGTTGAACCACAGCGTGATAACAGACGACATAATTCATTGTAGCTTGGAGAATCTTTCCTTTCTTTCTTCCATAAATTTCTAATTGACTCAAATCTCATTGAAGGCAGTTGTCGTATCCTCAGTGGCCGTTGCCGAATCTGTTATTTCACTTACTTACTTTGAAGCGGTTTGAAAACGTAGTTGTCTTTGTTTGCAATAGCTTCGTCTCTCAGCGGGAACAAAGATTCTATCTACAGCCTTGCCATGAATCAGATGGGAACAGTAATCGTATCAGGGTCCACTGAAAAGGTAAATGAGACTCTTCCCCCCCCCCAAAAAAAAACCCCAAGCCGTGCCGAAACGATTGTCGGTGGGAATTCATTTGGAAGATATTTATAGTGTGTTTTTGTACAAACTGGAATATCGGCCTGGAAAATTCCTGTCTCAGCTACCTTAATGGCTCAGAGGTTAAGACATTGCGCTGCAGACCGGAAGGTCTGTAGTTTGGCAGTTCAAGACCCGAGTGCCATGTGACGGAGTGAGTTCCCATCTCTGGCCCGAGTTCCTGCCAACCTAGCAGTTCGAAAGCAAGAAGTTGCAAGTAGATAAATAGGTACTGCTTTGGTGGGAAGGTAACAGCGTTCCGTGCGCCTCGGTGTTTAGTCATGCTGGCCACATGACCACGGAAACGTCTTTGGACAGCGCTGGCTCTTCGGCTTGGAAATGGAGATGGGCACCGCCCCCTAGAGTTGGATTCAACTAGCTTTCGAGCAAGGGAAACCTTTACTTTACCTTTATAAAGCAGCAGCTGACTTACGGCAACCCCTAATGGTGTTTTCAAGGCAAGAAGCAGACAGAGGAGGTTTGCTATCACTCGCCTCTGCAGAGCAACCCTGGAGTTCCTCAGTGGTGTCCCATCCAAGTACTAATGGGGGGGGGCACCCTAATTAGCTTATGAGCTCTGATGAGCTTGGGCTTGTCTGAGCTAAGCCCTCCTACAATTTAGAGAGCTTCCGTTTGTTCTCATCCAAAGAGTTTCCTGCTGGGACTGCAGAGGTTTTGTATTGTCGCTACGTCCTTCTAAGCTGCTGGAACAGGGTACCCCATATACCAGTGATGGCAAACCTTTTAGAGACCGAGTGCCCAAACTGCGACCCAAAACCCACTTATTTATCGCAAAGTGCCAACACGGCAATTTAACCTGAATACTGAGGTTTTACTTTAGGAAAAATAACTCATACATTAACTTAAGATGATCCAAACACAGTAAGGAAAGCAATCCCAAATGCTTTCATTTACTTAAAATTATTTGGCAGAGAATTCGACACTTTAATGATGGTCTGGGCCTGGCTGGGGCGATGGCACACGTGCTCACAGAGAGGGCTCTGAGTGCCACCTCTGGCACCCGTGCCATAGGTTCGCCACCACTGCCATATACCAATGCTGCTGTATCTCCACTTGATTCCCTTCTGCTGGAAAGCCTACCACAGAGGTAGAAGGAGCTGAGGGACAGAAATGTCACCACAGTAGACTTTTAATTTTCCTTCCATGCGTGTGCTTACTTCGTGTTGGTGCCGTCAGTTTCTCCACTGACCCCAGAAGATGTCCACCAATGTTGAGTGGGGTGAACTTGTGCATCATGTGGGATGGCATTGCTTAGAAACAGTTCAGAGCTCACTGGCTCCTCCTGCTGGCACCCCTGGCACCATTAAAAAAGGAGGTGTTCTGGAAGTGCCTGAATAGTCCTACCCCCGGGCACCCCTTCCTTAGTTTACCAACGCTGCTTCTACACCAATGAATAATGTGTTGTGTCAGCCAAGAAGTCTTAAATGAGGATAGATTGAAGGGCTTACAAATGGATTTCTTCAGGGAAATAGCTTCAAGATAACCTTTGTTTCCAAAGTGAGATTGGTTCCAGGAGATTTTTTTCCCCCTCTCTACAGGTTTTAAGGGTTTGGGATCCCAGAACCTGTGCAAAGCTAATGAAACTTAAAGGGCACACAGACAACGTTAAAGCTTTGCTGTTGAATAGAGACGGCACACAGGTATGCCTTTGACACTGCATTTCTACAAAGTCTGACTAGTTGCACATCCGCTCTGTCCTGAGGGAGTATTGTCCTCTGAACTTCTCACTCCAAAATATTTATTTCTGAATCTTTCAAAAAAAAAAATTAAAATAGACTTCCAAGGTTAAAATAAGCACAGCAATAACCGTATTTTCCCATCTTGTGTACTGGGTCTCTACAATAAACTAGTATCTTAAATGACTTGTAAAGCGTAAAAAGTGAATGCAGGAAGCTGCCTTCTACCAAATCAGACTGTCGATCCATCAGTCAGTATTGTCTACTCAGACTGGCAGTGGCTTCCTAGGGTCTTGGGTAAGAAGTCTGTCACATCATCTACAACCCGATCCTTTTAACTGAAGATGTTGGAGATTGAACCCGGGACCTTCTACATGCCCAGCAGATGCTCTGCTACTGAGCCATGGCCCCTCCTTGGTGATGTGAATTGAATAACTGGGAGAATATTGGTGAAGAAAGATGTCTGCAATAACTTTATAGTTGTACATTCACTTAGCTCTGTTGGATATACATTTATTATGGTGTTAAGTGCATCTACCGCTTCTGTTACAGTGTCTTTCCGGCAGCTCTGACGGGACCATCAGACTCTGGTCTCTCGGTCAGCAGAGGTGCATCGCTACCTACAGAGTCCACGACGAAGGGGTGTGGGCCCTGCAGGTCAACGAAGCCTTCACTCACGTTTATTCGGGTGGGAGAGACAGAAAGATATATTGTACAGATCTACGGAATCCTGATATCCGGGTGCTGATCTGTGAAGAAAAGGCACCAGTTCTTAAGGTAGCAGGCTTACCCTGGCTATATATCTTGGGTCGTTTTCTTTCCCTCTCCCTTGCTTCTGTCAGTTGCCCTGGATGACCATTCTGAAAGTACAGTAATACAGTTAAGAGGGGTTAGGTTTGCAGAGTATGTGTAGTAAAACATCTGCTTCGCTATTAAGAGCCAGTTTGGTGTAGTGGTTAAGAGCAATGAACCGGGTTTGATTCCCCACTCCTCCACATGAAGTCTGTTGGGTGGTCTTGGGATAGTCACAGTTCTCTCTCAGAAATCTGATAATCCAGTGGTTGTTCACTTCAAGCGCTTCAAATATTTACGACTCAGTCCTTTTACAACGGGGGACAAATGTTATGGGAATAGTCACTTTTTTGCTTTAACCAGTGCTCTTCACTGGCTCGTAACGTAGTCCTGTGCCTGATCAACATTGTTCTCCTGTTTGAACCTCCTAATCAGATGGAACTCGATCGATCAGCAGATCCTCCTCCAGCGCTTTGGGTAGCCACGACTAAATCGTCTGTGAACAAATGGGTAAGAATTGCTTTAACCTTGTACATCACACGGCTGTTGTTCCTGGCAGTTGTTTGGCCAGTCTTCAAAGGTGTTGCACTGTCCTGACATGACATGATACCGCTTTTCTTTGCTTCTTTGCCCCAGAACATAGGCCTCATTGCTGGCATCGCACAGGAAGTGACATCACACCAGCAGCATCCAGGTGACGTTCTGGTATTTGGGCAAAAAATCTATGGGTAAAATCAGCTTCCAACACAGAGTTTTCCCCCAAATACTAGAGCGTCACCTGGACATCCACTCGTGTTATGACATCACTTCCTGTGCAATGCTGGCGAGGAAGCCTGGGTCTTTCTCTTTCTCCAGGTATGTCTCCCTGCCAGCCAGCAGATAGGTGGCTGGGGAATAGGCCCTGGCAGTGGGGGACCCCCGCCACCACTGGTGGTGTGAGTGTGCATGAGAGATTTTAACCAGAACCTGGCACAGAAGGGAAGCATTAGTATCCTTCCCTGCCCCAGTTCACTCCACCCCTTCAGCTGCTTTGACCTTAAATATCCTTAAATGCTCTGGTTAGACCTCACCTAGAATATTATGTTCCATTTGGGGCACCACAATTCAAGAAAGATATGGACAAGCTGGAATGTGTCCAGAAGAGGTCAACAAAGATGGTTGAGGGGTCTGGACACCAAATCCTATGAGGAAAGGCTGAAGGAGTTGGGTATGTTTAGCCTGGAGAGGAGACAACTGAGGGGGGATATGATAACCATCTTCAAGTACTTGAAGGGCTGCCATCTAGAGGATGGAGCAGAGCTGTTTTCTGTTGCCCCAGAAGGTTGGACCAGACCCAGTGGGTTGAAATTAAATCAAGAGTTTTCGGCTAAACATTAAAAGGAACTTCTTGGCACTTAGAGCGGTCCTCAGTGGAACAGGCTTCCTCGGGAGGTGGTGGGCTCTCCTTCTTTGGAGGTTTTCAAGCAGAGACTAGATGGCCATCTGACAGCAATGCGGATTCTGTGACCTTAGGCAGATTGTGAGAAGGGAGGGCGGGAAGGTTTGCTTAGTTCTTGTGGCCCTTTCTTACACGCCCGGGAAAATGCCGATCGCCACTTTGGGGTCTGGCAGCAATTTTCTCCAGGCCACTTTGGCTGGGGATCTTGGAGGGGTTTTTTGCCATCTTCTGGGCATGGAGCAGGGGTCATTGGCTGTGTGTGTGGGAGGGAGGTATCTGTGAGTTTCCTGCATTGTATAGGGGGTTGGACTAGATGACCCTGGAGGTCCCTTCCAACTCTACGATTCTATGATTCTTCCCATTGGGGAGCCTGATCGTGGATCTCCCTCACTGTGGGCTTAGTTTGGCCCTGATCTATTAGGAATACTTGGCGAAAAGAAAGTCCTGTCTTCCTGGGGCAGGTCTGGCATTCAGGCTTGCTCCTGCCCCGCAGCTCCTCTTGAACTTGCAGCATGCTCTTGGATGGCCCTTTATAAGAAACCAAGATGCCGTGTGCTTTGGTCTGGGCTCTGAGGCACAAAGGGAAGAGGAAGGAAGAGGCAAAGGAGAATGAGGTGGGTCACAGCAGCCTCTAACCCTGTTCCTGTCGCATTTCTTCCTCTCAGACTTTGAAGGGAATTCACAACTTCAGGGCTTCGGGGGACTACGACAACGACTGCACTAATCCAATTACACCCCTTTGCACACAGCCTGACCAAGTTATTAAAGGTAAAAATGATATTGGAGCATATTACTGCAGTCTACAGACAAACAACACAAGAGCTAAACTTCGTCTCCACGTAGTCTTTGATGGATGAGCAGTGTGTCGCCTACAGCAAAGCCTCTGATTTTCTTCTTTTTTCCCCCCCTCCACCCCTCTTCCTAGGGGGTGCTAGTATTATCCAGTGCCACATTCTCAACGACAAGAGACACATATTAACCAAAGATACAAACAACAACGTGGCGTACTGGGATGTGTTAAAGGTGAGTGGGGTGATGGATGCGCCGTTGGGTGGGTTGTGCCCTGGCTGCCCGCTTTGCGCAGTAAGAACATAAGAGACGCCAATGTTGGATCAGGCCAAAGGCCCATCCAGTCCAACACTCTGGGTCACACAGTGGCCAGAAATACCAGTGCCATCAGGAGGCCCACCAGTGGGGCCAGGACACTAGAAGCCCTCCCACTGTTGACCCCCCCCCCCAAGCACCAAGAAGACAGAGCATCACTTGCCCCAGAGTCCCTATCTATACCTTGTGGCTAATAGCCACTGATGGACCTCTGCTCCATATGCTTATCTAATTCCCGGAAGTGGTGGCGGAAGGCGCCGTCAAGTTGCAGCCACCTTGTGTCGACCCCCATGGGGTTTTCAAAGCAAGAGACATTCACAGGTGGTTTGCCATTGGCTGCCTCTGCTTAGCAACCCTGGACTTCCTGGGTGTTCCCCCATCCATTTACTAACCAGGGCTGACCCTGCTTAGCTTCTGAGGAGAGACCAGGTTGCCTCCTCCTTCAAGGCAAGAGACCACGGGAAGGTAGTTTCCCATTACCTCTGTGTTGAACAACTGTGATATATTATGCCAAGGAAATTAGTCACAAACTATTAGGTTCTTATCCAATATTCCATTTACTTGGAGTAATTCAGTCTTCTCAAAAATCATTCATGATAACGCCATTAACACTAACGGACCATGCCTATCAGGTCTCGCTTCGTTTACAACTTTGTCAGAGTGTATAGCGTTGAGATTTAATTCATTCATTTAGCAAGCATCTTTCTAGCCTATATACATATACATTTAGATGCATAGATGAATGAGAAAGCTTTGCATCACGTTAATGGATTTGATGAGTTACTACGAAAAATGACTATACTGTCAGCGCACATTTTAAGCAGCCTCTCTGAAGGTTCAGTGGGGTATTTAGTTTGAGTGACAGCAAGCACAAGAGTATCCAAAATTACACGTGACAACTATTGATGGCATTTCTGTACAGAATAACATAAGAAAGCCATGCTGGATCAGGCCGATGGCCCATCCGGTCCAACATTCTGTGTCACACCCAGGTGCCATCAGGAGGTCCACCAGTGGGGCCAGAATTTCAGAAGCACTCTGACTGTTGCCCCCTCCCAGCACCAAGAATACAGAGCATCACTGCCCCAGACATAGTGTTCCATCAACACCTTGTGGCTAAGAGAATATTAGAACATAAGGAAAGCTGTGCTGGATCAGACCAGTGGCCCATCCAGTCCCACACTCTGTGTCACACAGTGGCCAGTATCCATTTGCCATCAGGAGGTCCACCAGTGGGGCCACAATGCCAGAAGCCCTCTCACAGTTGCCCCCCAAGCACCAAGAATACAGAGCATCACTGCCCCAGACAGAGTGTTCTGCCTGTATTTTATGGCTAATAGCCCCCAATAGACCTGTGCTCTGTATGTTTTTATCCAATTCCTTACTGAAGCTGTCTATGTAGCTGTCTCCACTTCCTGCAGCAGTGAATTACTCGTGTTGATGACTCTCTGGATGAAGAAGTACTTCCTTTTATCTGTTCTAAATCTACTGTAACAGCTGTATATTTCCCATTCTCATACACAGGCGTGCAAAGTAGAAGACCTTGGGAAAGTGGACTTTGAAGAAGAGATTAAAAAAAGGTTCAAAATGGTGTATGTGCCAAACTGGTTTTCCGTAGACCTAAAAACTGGGGTAAGGCATTTCTTAAATTTTCTGTAATGGGCGGTTATGGGTAGTTAAACTCTCCCTCATTTGGGGAAAAGCAGTTTTACCAGTATGATATCAGGGATGAGACCCCGAAATGAAACACATCTGAAAACAAAATCCCAACTCCTATGAAAATGGTTCCAATGCCATTTTTACAGAATTGAAAATATATTATTATTATTATTATTATTATTATTATTATTATTATTATTATCCCTATCCCAGCTTATGCTGGGCTCTGGGTGGTGTACAAGGCATGATGCCATAAAATATACAGAAACATTAAAATTCAATATGTAACTTAATAAAAATTACAATACAGAATTATATTTTCTTATAATATTATTGTGGTTTTCTTATAATATTATTTGTCCCAATTCCAGATTACTGGCCCGGATGCCGTTGCTGTCCGCAACCAAATATATCAATTCACAAAATGTACATTGGAAAGTGCAAAACATATAAAGTCCAATAAAGTACGAGAAAGTAATAATTTCAACATTCAAAATGCTTTTCTTGGACTTTTGTATGCAATATGCATTTTGAATGTTGAAATTGTGACTTTATTGGACTTCATATGTTTTGCACTTTCCAATATATGTATATATTGTGAATTGATATATTTTGTGAATTGATTTTCGTTATTGTCCACGGTATCCTTGTTTTGGTTCACATGGCACAGCAAACCACGGTTTGTGCTAAATAGAGATTTGAAAGTAAAGCTGCAGAGGAGAAGAAACAGCACACAGGGGTCTGAAATCAAGCCTCATTCTTTTGAGTTGGTCAAATAAGTCTGGACTTGAAGATGTTCTGGCGGTATGTCTTAAACTGAAGACACTCTTCCTTGCGGTTGAGAATTTGTTGAATCAGGGTGCTGACAAATACTTAACGGTTCTGGAAACATAACCAGGCTGTACAGGATCCTTAATGTACACCAGTGCTCCCTCCAAGCTGTGGAGTCTTGTGAGCAAAAATTCTACTTTGTGAGCGACTGGCATTAAAGTTGCGAGCGAGCGATTTGGCGACTGCATGAATTACTTTGCTCTGGAGCCCTCCTTCCTGAGCTAAGACAAAAATGTGTGAGCCGGAAGGTAAGAAACTGTGAGCTAGCTCACACTAACTCAGCTTAGAGGGAACACTGATGTACACCTGTGAAAACTAGTGCGCAGGTACTAGATACAGTGATGGAATGACAGGGGCTGTCCTCTTCATCTAAGCCTTTTGTACCGGTGTGCTTTGTCGGAGCTTTGTGGCACTGGAAGCAAAGAGAAGTGTTGAGGTTCTGCTCTGAGCATAATCTTTACGCTGCCTTTCTCCCAACGATCTTCTTTCGACAGATGTTGACAATTACCTTAGACGAGAGCGACTGCTTTGCAGCTTGGGTCTCGGCAAAAGACGCGGGGTTTAGCAGTCCAGATGGATCGGATCCGAAATGTGAGTGTTCACTGATATCTTTACTTCATAAAGCTGCAAGAATCCTCTTGCTTACATTAATAAAATCCTGGGAGGTAGAGATATTACTCCCTTCTTTACTGATTCTTTTATGAGTTTAAGATGACAATTCTCCAGAAAAGTTCACCCCCAACCACAGTTTTGTTCAGGAGTGTAACTGTTTCTGGATACAAATTGCCCAGCAACTGAACTTGGTCCAGGCCTTTCACAAACTACATTTCAGAGGACACATGAAGTTGCCATACACTGAGTTAGACTCTCGGCCCATCAGGGTATTGTCTATTCAGACTGACAACGGCTCTTCAGGCAACGGTCTTTCACATAATCTGTGGCCTGGCCCTTTAACTGGCGATGCCGGGGATTGAACTGGGCACCTTCTGCATGCCGAGCAGAAGCTCTGTCACTGAGCCAGAGCCCCTTCCCCAGGGGAGTAACATAGACTCTGCAAGCTGATTGTTCCATTGCACGGATTGGAAATTGTCCTGCAGAGAAGCTTCCATTTGCAGTCTCAGGACTCCGTGTTCAAGAAACACTCTTCACAAAGCCTCCTCCTAAAAAAAATTTTTTTTGAGTTCCAAATCCAAACTAATGAGTAAGGCTGTGGGATCCAAAGTGTTGTACTAGGTCACTTGAGGGTGTGTGTTACTTTATATTATTTATATTCTTCATCATTGCTGCTAGGCTGAATTGTTTTCTGTCTTGTCCTCCGATTTGCTGATGAGCTGAAGAGCCTTTCTCATACTGGTTATCTGCCCAGCCTTACTGAAGTATTCTGTTTGACCAGAATCTTTGCTGTTAAAGTCAAACATTTTTTGATCATATTTTGTATTTGCATTCTATATCAAGATGGGTAGCCATGTTAGTCTGTCTGTAGCAGCAGAAAAGAGCAAGAGTCCAGTAGCACCTTAGACTAACAGAATTGGTGGCAGGGTCTTTCGTAAGTCACTGCTCACTTCTTCAGATACATTTAGAATGTGAGTGCATCTGTTCTATATATTATTGGAAAGCAGAATGATTTCAGATGCCAAATGACAAATAGCAGGTGTGATATGCAGAGGGATAGTAGGCGTGGGAAAACCAAGATTGGTAATGAGACAGGAAACCTAGGTCTCGATTAAGTCCAGGTGGATGCATTGTCTTGAGCTTCATTATCAGTTGCAATTCGCTATTGTCATTTGCCTACTAATGTCATTTGGCTTCTGAAATCACTTCACTTTCCAATATATAGGACAGATGGACTCACATTCTAGCTGTATCTGAAGAAATTAGGAGTGATTCACAAAAGCTGATCCCCTGTCACAAATTTTGGTAGCGTTTAAGGTGCTCCTGGACTCTTGCTCTTTTCTGTTCACTTGCTGAATGACTAAATTACAGGTCTTACCATAGCTGGAATCAGCCTTGAGTCCCAGTGAGAAAGGGAGACTGTAAATGGCTTTCTGTTTTCTTTGGACAATGGACCCCCACCCCATGCCATATTGCAAACCAGCTTCTGAAAGTCCTGCTGGTTTCAAAAAGGTGTTTGCCATTGTTTGTGAGAGAGAGGGGACTGAAATTTGAGAAGCACAAACTCAAAGCGTTTGGAATTAACTGCACAGTTCTTTGGACCCACACTTCAGACTAACATGAACAGCATCCTGAGTATAAGAAAATTCTTTCTACATGCTACATGAATGTAAGCATTATTGTTTTGATCTCCCCCCCCCCTTTTCTTCTCAAAATGCAGTGAACCTTGGAGGGCTTTTGCTGCAGGCGCTGTTAGAATTTTGGCCCAGAACACACATCAATCCAATGGACGAAGAAGAAAACGAAATGAACCACGGTGAGCTTTATTCTGGACACAGCGTGGAAATGGTAGACCTCTTTGATACAGCATTGGCCAATATGGCACGGTGGCAAAATCTTCCCCTATGTACAATAAGCCTTGGTGTGCACACACAGAGGATGCTCTTCATCAGGGGTCCCCAAGGCTGCATGGTGCCTGCTGATACCATTCCTGGTCTTCCCCCCCCCCCCCCGAGTTTTTTGAGAAAGTGGGTGGTTCCAGGTGGGGCTTTTGCCCAGGAAGGCATCTGATTGGCTACAGGAGATTCGATTGGCTGTTGAGATTTTTAAAAAATGTTGCTTTAGCAGCAGCTGCCACCACAGTACAAGGTGACTGGAGGTAAGCTGTTTTGTGGCTGGCTTCATCTCCCGAGCCAGTTTGGTGTAGTGGTTAAGCGTGCGGACTCTAATCTGGGAGAACTGGGTTTGATTCCCCACTCCTCAACTTGCAGCTGCTGATGTGACCTTGGGTCAGTCACAAGCTCTGGCACAGCTGTCCTTGGAAAAGAGCAGTTTGTGTCAGAGCTCTCTCAGCCCCACCCACCTCACAGGGTGTCTGTTGTGGGGAGGGGAATGGAAAGGAGATTGTGAGCCGCTCTGAGACTCCCAAGAGAAAGGCAGGGTATAAATCCAGTCTCTTCTTCTTCTTCTCTTCTGGGGCAGCCATTTTGGCAACCATTTTGTGGTTGGCACCACCGGCCGGAGCAGCCATTCTGTAGCTATGCCCATTGCACTGTGTCAGAATCCCAAAGATGCCCACCCACCCAAAAAGGTCGGTGGCCCCAATCTACACGGAACAATCCCTGATCCGCCAAGTCACCCATGACTAGACGCGTGACAGGGAGATGTCATTGTTTGCCGGTCTCTGACGTTCTCAAAAGTGAGTTGAATTTAAGCCACTTGCTCTGCTGAAAACAGGACAGGCTTGTCTGAACGAGACTACTTGGTAACCATCCTGTAAGGTCTTAATATTGTGTTTCCTTCCCACCCACCCCAAATAGTGAATGGCGAGCAGGAGAACAGAGTGCAGAAAGGAAACGGATACTTCCAAGTGCCCCCACACACCCCTGTGATCTTCGGTGAAGCTGGGGGGCGCACTTTGTTCAGGTACAGCGATCCCCGAAAGGGAACACTGCGGGGGGGGGGGCTTAGGGGTAGACTACATCCCTGTTGAGCAGGCCAGTGGTATTCGTAGGCATTCTGCATCCAGGCCTTTGTCTCTTGTGTAGCACTGAACTGTGAAGCTGCCTTTCTACTCAATCAGGCCCTGCGTCCATCGAGGCCAGTCTCGTCGACTCAGACTGGCAACGGCTCTCTGGGATCTCAGGCTGAGGTCTTTCCCATCCCCTGCTACCTTGGCGGTGGAAAGTGCCATCAAGGTGCAATCTATTTATGGCCACCCCGTAGGGTTTCCAAGGCAAGAGACGTTCAGAGGCGCTTTGCCATGGCCTGCCTCTGCATAGCAGCCTTGGACTTCCTTGGAGGCCTCCCACCCAAACACTAGCCAGGGACGACCCTGCTTAGCTTCAGAGACCTGACGAGATCGGGCCAGCCTGGGCTTTCCAGGTCAGGCCGAGGTCTTTGACATCATGTAATGCCTTACCAGTGGTGACATCCAGACCATCAGTCCAACAAGGCGAGTATTGCCTACTCAGACTGGCATTGGCTCTCCAGGGTCTCGGGAGGTCTTTCACATCACCGACTGCCAGATCATTTATCTGGAGATGCTGAGGATTGAACCTGGGACCTTCTGCACGCCAAGCAGAGCCACAGCTCCTCCCCGCTCAGCTCCTCAGCTGCAAGACGGAGCTGTGAGCGGGGAGATTCTCGGCACCAGCCTTGTTTCCGTGATGAGTTCCCTCGACGACCTTAGTCTCCCAGCACTGGCCCCTTAATTTGCAGTGAAGGAATATAACAGGCCCCTTCCAAGGATTACTGTCAGGATATACGTGAAGTGCTCAGCACGCTCGACAGCTGTTTCGCAATAACATTTAAACATTGCTCTTCCGTTGCCGGTATACCCCGTGAAGGGGCAACGCTGAATCCCTTCGCAAGCTGCATGGCAGCTGATGTCAGATTTCTGAAGCCTCCATTAAGACACTGTTGTGGCTGGCACCTTAAAGTCACCCTTCTCATCCAACAGAGAAAGGCAGTTGGGGGCTCAGGAGGAGTTAGCCTGCTCCTATCAGGAGCAATGCCGCAGGAAGTGGGGGTGGCTACAAGCATCAGGCAGCTTCAAGAGGGGATTGGCGAAACATACGGAGCAGAGGTCCATTGGTGGCTATTAGCCACAAGTTATAGATGGAACAAGGCCGCAGTGGCTCAGTGGTTAAGACACTGAGCTGCGGACAGGAAGGTCTGTAGTTCGGCAGTTCAAGACTCTTAAGTGCCACGTGACGGAGTGAGCTCCCATCTCTGGCCCCAGCACCTGCCAGCCTAGCAGTTCGAAAGCAAGAAATTGCAAGTAGATAAACAGGTACCGCTTCGATGGGAAGGTAACAGCGTTCCGTGTGCCTTGGTATTTAGTCATGCTGGCCACATGACCACAGAGAAGTCTTTGGACAGTGACTGGCTCTTTGGCTTGGAAACGGAGATGAGCACTGCCCCCTAGAGTTGGATTCAGCTGTCTTTCGAGCAAGGGAAACCTTTACCTTTTTTATAGATGGAACACTCTGTCTGGGGCAGTGATGCTGTGTGTTCTTGGTGCCTGGGGGGCTTCCGGAGGGCTTCTGGAGTTCTGGCCCTGCTGGTGGACCTCCTAATGGCTCCTGGTCTTTGGCTACTGTGTGAAACAGAGTGTTGGACTGGATGGGCCACTGGCCTGATCCAACGTGTCTTCTCTTATGTTGTTATGATCCACCTCCATGTAAATTACCATTTCCTGAAAGTGGGGCTTTTGCAGCTCTGGAGTTAAAAGGTTTTTTCCCCTTTCTCTCTTACCAGGAGCCACTCTAAATGTCCCTGCAGCTTTCCCTTTCTGACCATGTAGCGGAAGGGCCTGAAGAGTTCTCACCTCATAATAACAATAATAACCTCGTTAATGGGGCCGTGCAGTACATACTGCGGAGAGTCCCTTGGATTGTTCTCTTGCTCTGCACAGCTGTGTCTTCCCCCTCTGTGTAATACTGTTTGTCCTTTAAAAGGGACTAGATAGATTCATGGAGGATAAGTCTATCAGTGGCTGCTATCAGAGGCACTATGCCTCTGAATCCCAGAGCCAGAAGGCAACTAGTTGACCACTGTGTGAGACAGGATGCTGGACTAGATGGACCACTGGCCTGATTCAGCAGAGCTCTTCTGGTGTTCTTATCGAGGAAAGTCCTCGGTCTATATGCCCTGTTGTTTGCCCTCCAAAGGAACTGGTTGGCCACTGAGTGAGACGGGATGCTGGACTAGATGGACCACTGGTCTGATCCAGCAGGGCTCTTCTGATGTTGTTATGACCTTAAATAGTGCCCTTTGGGGCAAATTACCGTTGTCAATTTTCATAAACACTCGAAAGCTGGAGCTATTAGTGGGATCCTTCTGCTAACTCTAGACTTTAATCCATTCCTGGTTTAATTTCTGCCGATAGGACAAAAGGGAAATCCGTGGCAATGACCCCTTTTTGCTTTCATTCTTTAACTTGGTATCCACTCAAGCACTGGTAGTAAGATGGTCAGTCAGCTTGGTCTGGCTTGTGATTGTGCATCTTTTAAATGAGCGTGGACATGTCTTTGTTTCAAGTGCTCTCCAGAATACTGCCAGACACACGGCACTAGATGGGTGTGTGTGTGTGCAAAGTGCGTTCTGAGATGTCTTAAACGCATTAGCCTCTATATAATGTCTTGCTCCTTCCTGTCCTAATTTCCTGTTTGCATATACTAATTCCTTGTTATAGCGAGTTCAGTAATGCACAGACATTTCCTTCAGTCTTTGGATGGACCACTCACGGAAACGATTCCTTTCCGCTTAGGTTATTATGTCGGGACTCTGGTGGTGAGACTGAATCCATGCTCCTTAATGAAACTGTGCCACAATGGGTCATTGATATCACTGTGGATGTAAGTATCTCGCTATGCTTCGGAAAGCAAGAAAGTCTAAAGTGTCCCCCCCCCCAATTATTTCACTAATTGCAATAAACCATAAATCTGTGTGTATATTGGAGACCTCGTACTAAAGCAGTATTTGAAGTGTTGAAGCATCCACAGCATTCTTCGTTGCCCACGCCTGCTTGTTGAAATCACACTTTCCTTTTGTACAGTGTATTTGTGACACTGTCATTTCTGTGTACAGGAAAGCAAACTTTTAAAAATATTTATTTTTTTCAAATGTATATCCTGCCTGTCCCACAGCCAATGAAACTGAAGACAGCGAGTAATAATATAGAACAGCATGATTTCAATAGGTTAAATACTCTTGCTGTGACTAAGAGAAATGGGGGGGAATCGCCCAGGAAGGGTTAAAGAGCTGGCAGCCATTTAGCCTGTCCTTTTTGTTTCCCCCTGCTTCAAAGCGGGGAGAAGCAAAACCAACTGGTGAAATGGCTACCAGCCATTTAAACCTAACAGCGGGGGCCGACCTGTCAGCTGTCAGGTTTAAATGGCTGCGAGCCATTAAACCCATCGGTTTCGCTCTCCCCCCTCCCCCCTGCTTCTAAGTGAGGGGAAGTAAAATGGAGGCGTTAAATGGCTGCCAGCCATTTAGCCGGTGATCCCCCTCCCCTGAACTGAACTTGCCGCTTCGGGGATTTTTGGTTTGGTTTGGGGGCCACCCAGAACCAAATCGGGTTTTTTTTAGGTTCATGCCCATCTCTGTTAAAATACCATATAACAGCTAACATATGCTTTTGAGGGCCAGCACGTCTTAGTGGTTAGAGTGTTGGGCTAGGATCTGGGAGTCCCAGCTTCGAATCCCCATGGAAGTTCACTGGGTGACCTTGGGCCAGTCACACGCTCTCAGCCTAACCTACCTCACAAGGTGGTTGTGATGGTGAAATGGAGGAGAAGAGAAAATGTGCGCTGCCTTGAGTCCCCATTGGAGAGAAAGGCGGGGAATGAATGAATAAATAATGTAAATGAATCGTAAAACAATGTTGGGTTCTAATTGTGGCTGGACTCAGCTCACAGGTGGAAGTGAGCATAATTCCTGGACGGATTGGCTTCCAGGAGTAAACACCCTGTAGTACTTGCCACAGTTCCAAGGCCTGTCCTTGAAAAATCTGCGGGGAACTTGGAGGAGCCTTGTCTGCAGTATGAAGAGCAATGTGAGGCAGGAGGAATCCTGGGAGGCCCCAGCGTGTGCCCATAGGGGGGCTCTTTGGTTTGCAAGCCAGGATGATGTGGGTCCCATTCAATGCTCCCTCTAAGCTGTGGAGTGTTATGAGCAAAAATTCTACTTTGTGAGCTACTGGCATTCAAATTGTGCGCGAGTGATACAGCTGCTGCATCAATGAGTTTGCTCTGGAGCCCTCCTTCCTGAGCTAAGACAAAAAATGTGCGAGTCGAGGGTAAAAAACTGTGAGCTAGCTCACACTGACTCAGCTTAGAGGAAACACTGGTCCCATTGCTTTTCCCTAAGCAGGTGCCGCATCGCTAGGCTAAAACCAAACTGGGAAACATGAACTTAAAAAGTGCATACTTCCTAAATTGCACATGCTTAAATAAGAGATTGTGCTGCTTAAGGAGAGATAGACTTACCTGTTGCAAGATAGGAAGCAAAACATAAGTTTTTACTATCTCCTGGCACTTTTTCTTTCTTTGCAGAAAAACATGCCAAAATTCAATAAGATTCCCTTCTACCTCCAACCTCATTCATCCTCTGGGGCAAAAACGTTAAAGAAGTAAGTGTATATCTCCTTTTAACTCTGTCCGTTCACCGACTTTTTCTTTAAAAAAACCCTCTTCTTGGCTTGCAGGCGCGCAAAAAGACGAGGCGAGACTGCCTGAGCCTCTCAAGCATCTCACCATCCTGTCGATCTGTTTCCGCAGGGATCGACTGTCAGCCAGCGACATGCTGCAAGTCAGGAAGGTGATGGAGCACGTCTATGAGAAAATCATAAACCTGGACAACGAATCGCAGACCACCAGCTCTTCCAACAATGAGAAGGCTGGAGAGCAAGAGAAAGAGGAGGACATTGCCGTTTTAGCAGAAGAGAAGATCGAGCTCTTGTGCCAGGACCAGGTAACCTCCTCACCCAGTCGTTCCCTTTCTCTCTCTCCCGTCCTCCCCTCCCTGCGCCCACACATCGGGGTGAATTTCTCAAGACTTGGGCCCCTTGTCCAAGGGGTCCTGTCTCCCGTATACCAGAGAGAAGAGAAACAACCCATGTTATTTGGGGGAATTATTTATTTCTTCATTTATACCCCATCTCTGTCCCCAGTGGGGCCCAAGGTGGTTTGCATACTTCTTCTTTCCTCCACCTGATCTTCCCAAGACAACCCTGTGAGGTAGGCTAGGCGGAGGGTGTGTGACTGGCCCAAAGTCAGCCAGTGGACTTCTGTGGCTCGAGTGGGGATTCGAACCTGGGTCCTCCCAGATCCTAGTCTACCACTCTACCGTGTTGGCCCTCGCTTGCAGAACATGCCCAGGAAGGTGGGAACCGGCATGCAAGGTGGCCCTCAGGGTTGGAACCCCTTCTTAGACCATGTGTCATAAGAACATAAGAGAAGCCAGTTTTGCTTGGCGGTTAAGTGCACAGACGGAGAACCGGGTTTGTTTCCCCACTCCTCCCCTTGCACTTGGCTGGATGAACTTGGGCAAGCCGTAGTTCTGATAAGAGCTGTTCTTGAAAAAAGAGCAGTTTCTGTCAGAGCGCTCTCGGCCCCACCTACCTCACAGGGTGTCTGTTCTGGGGAGGGGAAGGGAAAGGAGTTTGTCAGCCGCTCTGCGACACCTTTGGGTAGTGAAGGGCGGTGTATAAATCAAACCTCCTCTTCTTCTTCTCTCCATGTTGGATCAGGCCAAGGGCCCATCCCATCCAACACTCTGTCACACAGTGGCCAACAATACCAGGTGCCACCAGGGGGTCCAGGAGCAGGGCCAGGACACTAGAACCCCTCCTACTGTTGACCCCCCCCCTCCCAACCACCAAGAATACAGTGTATCACTGGCCCCAGTCTGAGAGTTCCTACTTATACCTTGTGGCTAATAGCCACTGAGGGACCTCTGCTCCATATGCTTATCCAATTCCCTCTTGAAGCCGTCCATGCTTGTAGCTGCCACCACCTCCTGTGGCAGTGAATTCCACGTGTTAATCACTCTCTGGGTGAAGAAGTCCTTTTATCCGTTCTAACCCAACTGCTCAGTCTTTACAGTGGAGAAACTGCAACCTTCTGGTGCGCTTCCTCTTGTGTTAAGCCCAATTCTTAATTTTCTGCGGCAGGTTTTGGATCCAAACATGGACCTTCGAACCGTCAAGCACTTCATATGGAAGAGTGGCGGCGACTTAACCCTCCACTACCGCCAGAAGTCGACGTGAGAGCCGAGCGATGGGCCAAACCGGCGGTGAATCTCCCTGACCTTCCTGTTCTGGTTCCAGCTGTAGCGCTCTAGACGCCCACTGAAACCCCCTAAGGTAGATCTGACACTTCTAATTGCCTCAGTGCGGACAGAGTCTACGTTGAACTGAAGTGACTAATAAATCTGTAATATAGACGAATCTCTATGACCTAAACTAAAAAGTTCTGTCCTTATCAAGGTTCGAGTGAGAGTGTCAGGCGAAAGCCCATAAGTGGTTCGTGTTAACGAGGTGTACAGAGACCAGGTGATCCAGTGCAGATGTTTGCTCCCGTCTTCCACGGGGCCGTTGACTTCCATTTTTATTTCCAGGATCCGTACTTTTCGTCCGCTCAAGCTTGATATGGAAAAAAAACCAACCCACTTTCCCCAGCCCTGCTGTTCATTTGTTCACAGTGTAAAACCACTGCATGCGCTGGACCTCATCCATTACATTCCATGTATCCTGACCACCCCCCTCCTCATCCCAGCAAATTTGGCCCCCTCCCTCTAGATCTGTTGTACAGCGGCAGCGGGGGCAGCCTTCATCGTACAAGCTGAAGGGATTCTCCGATGCCCTTTAGCCTTGTTGATACTGTGAGCTCGTAAGAAACCGTCTGGTATTCATAGTCTAACAAAGTAGTTGGTGTGATAACAGGGTCAGTACAATGGTGCGGTGCATCATGATGGAATATTTCAACACCTTTAACTAGATTTTTTTTTTTAAGTAAATGTAGCTTCGGTACTGTCCTTTCCCCCCCCCCTCCCTTGAAGGTGACTTTGCCGGTCCCAGTTCCAAGTAAACATACTCTGTATTTCTGACAACTTGACAACCACCTCTAGGAACTTTGCAGTAAATACCCATAGTCGTGATAGCAAAAACAACTTGCAGTCTCCCCCCCCCGTCCCCCACTTTTTTATATGCCTTTTTTGGATATTTTTTGTTGTTTAGCTTTTCTTTTCCACTGTTTCTAAGACGTTTTACAGCGTTGTTTTTTTTCATGCACTCATTATAACGAATTTAACTTGTTTTGGATGTGGGGAGGAGGGAATATTTCAATGTTTGGGCAAGAAACTGTCAATTGCAATGGGGGGGGGGAGTTTGACTGGAACACAAATAATTATCCTGATACAACAGAATTCTATGAAACGGTCCTTAGCTGAAACAGAAGCACAAGTGCCTTTTGGGGGCAATATAGGAAAGGCATCCAGCCCACCCCCGAGGTTCGTATTCTTCCCTTTCACTCAGGATGTAAGTGACGGTCTCAGCTATATCTTAATTTTTGTAGTTAATGGGGCAAGTGTTTGAAGGATAACAAATGCTAGGTTTGTGGAACAGGGTCTGCCCTGGTTATTTATGAAACTGAGCACTGGGTTGATGGAACAGCGTGGTTACTGACACGGGCCTTTGCCCTGCCCTGGAAACTGGCAGTGCCAGTCTGAGAGGTGGTCCAGAAACGAGAGCCACTCTAAACCAAGACAAAAACACATATCCAAAGGTCCGTAGAAGGCGGGATCATTTTAAAAACAACAGATGCCTTTTAAACTCTTCCTGCTTTACCATTCAGATGCTTTGTTCTTTTTTTGAGCGAGAGAACCAGCTCTCCCCCCCCCCACCAATCTGAGCAACTACAGCCCCTTCTGCCCTTGCCCAGAGAGTAATGACATTGCCTGCCCTTCTCACTTGTGTTCCCAGAGGATATTAACACAGCTGCCGTGCTGCAAAGAGACAGCATGGATTTTTCCTCCACTATTAACAACAATTTCACTTGTAAATCCCGTTGGTGTATACAGTGATCTAGTTTGCCACACTTATGCTGTATCACACACTTGAACAAAGTGTGTGAATTCATTGGCCTAATCCAGCTGTACATTGTTCTCAGTTGTCTTTATTAAGGGGGGGGGGGGAAATTTGTGCTTTGTTCTTATAGATACCAGTTCTGAATTTCTTGCTCTCCTGACATATTCATTGAAAGTAACTCTCCTGCTTTTCCACCCTACCCATATACCCCCCCCCCTTTGGTTTTAAAAATCAGCCAAGGTTCTAAACTTGTTTCTACAATCCCAGTTGTGTAGTTTCTGGAAAGATTGACAGAGGATCTGTAATGCCAAAAGGGTGAATATGTATTTCACAATTGTATAGAATAAAAAAAATCTTTAGCTAACGTTTCTAATTTGCTTCAGTCATTTCTCTGGTCTTAAATGTTGGGTCTTAAATGTTGCTTCACTAACAAAGGTATTCTTGACCACATGTCCACAGCTACACTGGTGTCTCTCAGACTGTAAAGTGGTACAGCTGTGGTTTAGACGGAAATAGATCTTTCCTGGACCTTGCTGTCATTCAGAATGTGAGGTATTCCAGTTAAGCCCTATGGTAGAACAAAAGTATATAGTAGTTATTTCCTGCCACTTGGTTTAATGGTGCCATTCTCACATGCCTCTGCAACGATAAAAGGTCAACTAGATTGTCTTGACATAAAAACTCATTTTGTTCTAAAGAACCAGTAGGCCTTAAGGTAGGTTAACATAGGAACAACTCATAATACTGTTTTGACGGAACACGTGATCCTTTTCGTGTGACGAGTCCCCAACCTTTTTGAGTCTGTGGGCACATTTGGAATTCAGACACAGTGTGGTAGGCACAGCCACAAAATTGTTTGCCACAGCTTCGGTCGTACACCGAAGAGCCTTGTGCTGTGGTGACCACTTTGGAAACTCCTGTCCCTGGAACATGAGAAGTTTTCTAGATCAGAATCAGCTGCCCTGAGCATTGAGGCTGAAGCATTCCCCCTGATGTTGTGGCCTAGGTTTGCCGAACTGCTTAATGGACCTGTCCTCCATTGATCCAAGCTAGCAGCCCTAAATGTATGCAGCAGTGTCTACAGCTTAAACTACTTTTCTCTGTTCTCAATCTACAGTTCATCATTTGAGTGGAAGCCATAGAATTCTATTACAGGAGAATATTGTATTTGTAATGGTTTCCCAAATTAACCTTCTCTCAAACCAGAGAAAGTATATAAGCTTCTTTAATGGTTTAATTCAAAGCTGTTGGCCTTTCCATAAGTAAGGTAGTGTTAATTTATACCCATTTCTATCACTATTTAGAATTTTCACTGAAATTAATGGGCAATTCTAGCATGTGCCTAGAACTGCAACCCTGGACTAGATGCCAGTATACGCTTAAGTCATCCCAATGGTAGCATGGCTATCGTGACTCAAAAGAACCCACCTTAGATCCAATCAATGGTCACAGTCCTAAACTTGGCTCGATCCCCACGCCTTTACTCTTTTATGCTGATGACGCAGTGCTATTGTCTCTAACTCGTATAGGGCTGAAACACCTTTTGAAGAGCTTTGTAGGCTATTGTGAAAAGAATAGGCTAGTTCTGCATTTTGAAAAATCCAAAATTATGATCTTCAGTAAGAGTTGGAAGCCGTCCAGATGGAGTATTGGAGGCCATTTCATTGAACAAGTCAAAAGTTTTAAGTATTGGGGTATCCACTTTTACAATAACACTTGATGGGTCTACAATAAAGAGAGAGCAATTGAGGCAGCGAACAACATTGCTGTGGCAATTACACGTTTCCATTATATCAGGGGTAACCAGTATGTGCCGGCGGCCCTTAAAGTTTTTAATGCCAAATTAACTGCTCAATTATTCTACGGAGTACCGATCGGGATTGAAGCCTTAAATGGAGACTTTGAAAGAATCCAGTCCAGATTCTTGCGAAAAATTCTTGGACTTCCCTCGTGTGTTCCTTATGCAGCTTTATGGTTAGAAACCAATCAAAGGCTTCTGACAACTCAGTTTTGGTTTAAACTTCATTTCCATGCTAAAGCTAAAAGTATTATTACTCACATGTTAACTGAGTCCCATCATGGCTTAGATATGTAGAGGAGAAACTCTCTACAATGGGAATATCCCCAGATTATTTAGCCCCCTTTTCGGATAAAGATTTCTCGACATCAAAAGGCAAACACTTGGGGAACGCGCAGCCAGCAGATGTTCCCCAAGTAGGTTGGGGACTTTTGACATGGGCTCTACTGCGAAGTATCTGTCAAGTTTTAACAGCCCCACATCATCACAGAGCATACATGCTTGAACACTTTAATGTTCTGCCATCAGAGGTGCTTTCAGGGAAGTACCGCCAGATACCATATGTACAGACTTTGTCCTTGCTCTCTGAAAGATATAGAATCCACTACACACACCATACTTCATTGCCCCCTCTATAGGGATATCCGATCTCGTTTTATTACTCCACTCTAGAGGGAGTAATAATGTTTGATGACTCAATTGTTTACTTTCTTCTGTTTAATTCTAATTGCAAAATAATGGAGGCTGCTGCAAAAATTTTATATTATGCAATCAGAAGACAAGGCTTGAACAGCCAAGTGTAAGCGACTGATGCATCTTAGTATTTTCCTGTATTTCCATGATGTTTTGTGTTTGTTTGACTCAAAAGAATACTGAGGAATAGCTCCAGGTAAATTTGACAGCCAGGCGTCAATTCCTGCCATACACTTCAGCTTCACTTATACATATTTGTGTGTTCAAGTAAGAATATGGGGGGTATTTGAGTTTATAAAACATTCTACAAAAGCATAACTCTTTAAAAAGTTTTATTTCCAGTGTTCAAGAAATCTACCAGAAGAATAAGACAGTTCATAAAAACCTCAAACCCTTTCAAGAGATACTACTTAGAACTAGCTAAAGTAGTTATCACGATCGTTTCCAAGTATTTGAGGGGACTCCCATGACAGATGTAGCCCTACTAGACGTCAGTGTCCAACTGGCTCACCAAATTCACACAGCTGAAGCCAGCACCTGTTTCATTTAAAAGCAAGAGAATTTTAACTCTACAGTGAATGTGATCTGCAGTCCCACCCTTAAAAATTTGTAGAGATCCAGGAGAAGAGTTCATTTCTCAAAACCTAATCCCCAATTAAAAAGACAGCCAGATACAGAATACTAACTTTTACCTTTGAACTGCAATTCCAAGATTTCCCATAGTGACAGAAATGTGTTCAGTTGAAAGGCAGAATAGCCACTGAGATTTAAACAGAGTCTCCAGTATGCTTCAACCATAGCACCCTACCGCCTTCAACCATGTTCACAAGCATATACATAGCCAACACCTGGCCACTGTATATTGAAAGTGTACCTGTTTAACATGCATGTTAGTCTTCCTTTCGCTGAGATACAAGTCGAGTGACTAAGTGCACAGGGAAGACTTATAGGTCCCTGTACAGATCTCTCCATATACAGGCACAGCATCTTAGCATTAAAATCTGCAAATGTAATAAAAATAGTATATTGATTAGGGGTGTGCATTTGACATAAACCCAGCTGGAAAAAACCGTACTGGTATTTTTCAAGCTGAATACAGATCAGAGGATCTGACTGGCTACTGGTATAGCTGAGCTTGAATAAAAGTTTAAACCAAACTGCGAGAGGGGCCGGGCCAGACCAGTGGGAGCTGAGAGCTCCCCACTGCACATCTCTGGGCCTGCTTCTCCTGCAGCGTGGCTTAAACCGTGCTACAGGAAAAGCCAAGCCAACTCAAGGTCTGGCTGGCTTAAAAAAAAAATCAGTATTTTTCTTCTCAGGGCTATTAGATCTGGGGGGGAAATGGGATTTCTGAAAAATCCCAGATCTGAATACCATACCGGTTACTGGGAGCTGGGATTTTTTGGAAATACCAACATTTTGGGGGGTAATGAAACTGAAGCTCAAATACTTTGGCCACCAAATGAGAAGGGAGCACTCCCTGGAGAAGACCCTGATGCTGGGAAAGATTGAAGGTCAAAGAAGACGGGGACGGCAAAGGATGAGATGGTGAGACAGTGTCATAGATGCAACGAACATGAAATTGAGCAAACTTCAGAGGACGGCGGAAGACAGGAGGGCCTGGCGTGATCTGGTCCATGGGGTCGCGAAGAGTCGGACTCAACTGTGCGACTGAACAACAACAAAATACACCTGAACCGAAAAATTCTGGTTTGTTTGTATTTTGCACACCCCTAGTATCATGAGTTGTATTTCTGCCTTCCCATTGAAGATATCTGGACAGCCCTGGATCTTCAAGAATTGTTTTAAGGTATTGAAAAGATTCTGATGCATCTATGCTTCGGGCATTAGTGATGCCTTCTGGGGGGGGGGAAAGGAAAACAAGCCATTAAACTGGCAGGTACAATAGACGGCTAGCGAGTTCTGCCCTCTAAAGTCAGATTTCTGTGCTTGCTTGTATGCTGCAAACAGCGTGCTTTCAGAAGGAGGATAAACCTTGTGAACAAGCTAAATTGCATTACTGCAGAGCAGTAGCTAGACAGAGGTTCAAACTTTCTAGCCGACAAGTGATGGATCAAGCACCTTCTTCCACATTCATTGAATTCCTGTGACGCAACAATGATAGTCTCTGTCAAAGCCCAGTGCAGGCTGCAAAATGGTGGGAATGAAGGCTCCCTTCAAGGGCGAGCTTCATATAGTCTTAGAGTTCCTGAGCCTTTTCGTCACCCGCATGTAACACAGTGGACAGTATAGGTCCCTCCATTTCATCTGAATGCAGCACAGTTTCTGGAGCATCGGAGTCTGCTCCGGCTGCCGCATTTACAGAAATATCCATAGGAAGAGATGGCAAGGGAGAGAGTGAAGGCATATGTATATCCAACGCTGGCTGAGGACCTGAGGTCTCTGGAGAAAGTGTTGAATCCGGGATTGGAAGAGTAGCGTGGTCTGAAACAAACAAAAGATCTATTTAGTATAGAGGGCGGTGCCTGCTTTAAAATATCACCTTCAGGATCATTATCAGAAGGGTATTCACGCTGGCCCGTTTTAACGTGCTCCCCTCAGCTGTGTTATACGGGAGATTAAAAAAAAATACCATTCCCACCATTCCCAGATAGGTTATGTCCAATGTTCCCTCTAAGCTGTGGGTTCTTGTGAGCAGAAATTCTACTTTGTGAGCCGCTGGCATTACAGTTGTGAGCGAGCGATTGGGCTCCTGCATAAATTAGTTGGCTCTGGAGCCCTCCTTCCTGAGCTAAGACAAAAATGTGTGAGCCGGGGGCTAAAAAACTGTGAGCTAGCTCACACTGACTCAGCTTAGAGGGAACACTGGTTATGTCCCTGTGGGCTAAAGGAGATTGAAGGAACGGACCATATACTTGTAGATTTTACCAGGATTTACGTGCTTATCACCTCTTCCCTATACTGCGATCCCTGGAGGGCAAATCTGAGGAAAGTAAGATAATGAACCTTCTATCCTCAAACAGGGCTGATACCATTGAAGCGGTAGCAAACTTCCTTAAAAGAGCATACAGGAGAAGTTCTTTTTTGGCAGAAGGGGTAGTGAATTAACTGTTTTGCTTGTTGCCGTTTCTCTACTGAAGGTTGCTGTTATGCCCATAAAGGTTTGTTGTGTTGTGACTTTGAAGAAAGCAGCACATGACTAAGCAGTAGCCCTGGTTAATCTCTGAAGTGGATGAAGGAGATTAAAACTGGTCAAAGAAGGAGCCGTCCTGGAATTCCGTAAAGTACCTGGACTGGACAACTGAGCAAGCTGCTTCCCCCTGCCCCTCACCTCTGTCTAGGGACAGCCTCCTAAGAATGGCTGCTGAAGGGGGCACACACACATGCCCACTCGGGTTGCCAAAGCAGTTCGGCTTACTTTCTATTCCCGTTTGTGGGCTGCCTTTGGTAGGAAGCGACTTCTTCACGCACAAGAGAAGTCGCAATCGCCCACAATTATGTTAAAGCCCATCCAGATAGGAAAGGGAGGGTGCTTTTAATTGCATGTAGCCTCAATCATGATTCTCTGGGTTGATATAGCAAAGTTTTCCTGCCCCTGAATCTGCACAAGGCCCTGGGACAGAAGAACACCTACAGATCAGGACTTGGGGGGGGGGGGTCCTTGGGGTAACAGACCTTAGTAGATCCCATACTGGTAGAAATGTTCGTCTTGTTTTTTTCAATCAATGTGGAGTTTAAAGTTATCCAATAAAGTAAACATAGCCCATACAAAACCATTTCCGTAAAGGTAAGACCAGATCTGTTATTACTGCCACAGGAGGTGGTGGCGGCTACAAGCATGGACGGCTTCAAAAGGGAATTAGATGAGCATGTGGAGCAAAGGTCCATCAGTGGCTATTGGCCACAAGGTATAGATAGGGGCTCTGGGGCAAGTGATGCTCCTGTCTTCTTGGTGCTTGGGGGGGTCAACAGTGGGAGGGCTTCTAATGTCCTGGCCCCACTGCTGGACCTCCTGATGGCACCTGGTATTTCTGGCCACTGTGTGACACGGAGTGTTGGACTGGGTGGGCCTTTGGCCTGATCCAACATTTTATGATTCCTGAATACCCAGGCCCTGATGAAGGACAACCACTCAGCATTCCATTCCGCTTGAGGATTCCTCGCAAAGTATGAGCAAGCTAATAAATCGGCATGATAAACTTATTTCCTGCCCCACTCAACCCCCACCCCATGACATCAGTGCTTTAAGGTTCACTTTGAAGAACTCAGATGACTTAAGTTTTGATTTCCTGGCATTAGCAGAAGAGGAGTATAAAAGGACTCCCCTTGGCCCTGGAATTCTGAGTTTACGTTCTCCTTTGGACCTTCTCCTTTGGAACTTCTCCTACCATCATAGGAAAAGACTTACTCTTTGGGACAAGTAGAAGAAGAAGGATTGGATTTATACCCCGCCCTTCACTACCCAAAGGAGTCCCGGAGCGGCTTACAAACTCCTTTCCCTTCCCCTCCCCACAACAGACACCCATTGAGGTAGATGGGGCTGAGAGAGCCGGGTTTGATTCCCCACTCCTCCACTTGCACCTGCTGATGTGACCTTGGGACAGTCACAAGCTCTGGCACAGCTGTCCTTGAAAAAGAGCAGTTTGTGTCAGAGTTCTCTCAGCCCCACCCTTCACTACCCAAAGGAGTCTCAGAGCAGCTTATAAACTCCTTTCCCCTCCCCTCCCCACAACAGACACCCTGTGAGGTAGGTGGGGCTGAGAGAGCTCTTGACAGAAACTGCTCTTTTTCAAGAACAGCTCTTATCAGAGCTATGGCTTGCCCAAGGTCATCCAGCCAGGTGCAAGCGGAGGAGTGGGGAATCAAACCCGGTTCTCCCAGATTAGAGTCCGTGCACTTAACCACTACACCAAACTGGCTCTCTTAGCAATTGTTTCAACTATGGCTTATTTTGGATTTACCAAAGCATTTTACTGCTACCGCTATCTGAATTTGCCATGGTTCCTTCCTTTTGTGCAGGGGGAGATTCTGTTCCAATCAAATACATGCATATACAAAAGTCTCAAAAGATCCCTAGAAGCCCAGATAAGGGACTTGGCACCAATGCTCCCTCTAAGCTGTGGAGTCCTGTGAGCAAAAATTCTACTTTCTGAGCTACTGGCATTAAAGTTGTGCATAAATTAAGTTTGTTCTGGAGCCATCCTTCCTGAGCCAAGATGGAAATGTGTGAGTTGGAGGCTAAAAAAACCCGAGCTAGCTCACACTAACTCAGCTTAGAAGGAACACTGCTTGGCACATGCAAGTCTCTGCCTGTAGGTAACAAATTCACAGAGTAGCTAACTAACAGCTGCCCTTTCTTGTACTGCTAGCTGGGCAGACCCCAAAGTACAATCATGGTTTTAAATCTACTTACTGAAGGATGACTCAGCGGCACTGTTCATTAGCAAGTCCTCTGTCGTTGCTGTGGAGCCGACTGACGCATTGAAAGAAGTGGAGGAAGGCACGTTGATGGTTTTCACCAAGTCGATTAATTCAGGAAAGGGAGCACCAGACATATCTATAAAATCTGAGAGACCAGGAAGGAGAGGTGAGACGGCCAAGAACTTACAGGACAACCTACCGTAAACTGGCTCAAGAAAGCTGGAACAACAACTCTGTCCCCAAATCCTTCTAAAATAACTTGTAACTTTGAGGATCACCATCAAAAGTGTGACCGTCTCACCTTCAAGAGTTTGTGGCCCAAGAGAGTCTTGGGAAGTGAAAAGTGTTGTCTTGATGCTTGCTGAAATTACTGCAGAACGGGATTCTGGGTGGTCACAGCCCTTAGGGCGTCGCTGTTCCCTGCCCTGCCTCCCCGGGAGCAAAAACACATGATGCAAATTGCTCAGACTGCAGAATCTGCAGTGGTTGTAGAACTCGGCACCCCACAGCCTGCCTACGCACAGCCAACCTGATACCCTGCAGGAAGAAAAGGTGCACTCATTACCTGGATCCATGACTCTTTGGACTGGAGGAGGAGGGTGAAGAGAGTTTTCTACAGGATACGTATGCCCACTTTGATCTGTGCTGTAAGACGAACTTGCGGGGTCTTCACTCTGGGAGTTTGGAGCCAGGAGGGGGGTCTGAAATAAACACAAAGGGACAAAAGTTAACATGCTATATATGTACCTGGAGGGAGATTTGACTCTTAAAAGCCTATTAACCCCCCCCCCCCAAATCTTATTTGCCTGTCAGGTGCTACTGGACTCGATTCCAGCTATGCTACATAAGGAGGAACATGTTTTCCACAAACGATGCAATGCTGTGCTACTGCATGGCGGGCACACATCCCCCCCACTGAACTGATTGGCACAGGGGTGGCCAAACTGGCTCGGGAGCCACAGGTGGCTCTTTCACACATATCGTGCAGCTCCCGGCAGGATGGCTGGGGGAAGCGAAGGAGAGGCATGCCTCCCTGATCGGTTTTCCCTTCCTCAACCAGTGTCCCCCTCCCTGGGTAGGCTTGAGGGCGGGGGGGGGGGGGCAGAGAAAGGAAGCAACTTTAACTTCTCAAAGCCCCCCTCCCTGACCAGCCAGCCTGGAGAAGGCATCTGTCTCTTTAAATCCCTTCTCCAAGCCAAGGGGCCAACAATAGGGCGTAGAGGCCGAGGCCTTCCCCTGATAAGAACATCAGAAGAGGCCTGATGGATCAAACCAGGGGTCCATCCAGTCCAGCCTCCTGTCTCACGCAGTGGCCAACCAGTTCCTCTGAAGGGCCAGCAACAGGGCGTAGAGGCTAAGGCCTTCCCCTGGTAAGAACATCAGAAGAGCCCTGCTGGATCAAACCAGTGGTCCATCTAGTCCAGCATCCTGTCTCACATAATGGCCAACCAGTTCCTCTGGAGGGCCAGCAACAGGGCAGAGAGGCCAAGGCTTTCCCCTGATGTTGCCTCCTAACTCTGGGATGCAGAGGTTTTGTGCCTCTGCGGGTGGAGCTTTCCCTCAGTCACCGTGGCTAGTTGCCGTTGACAGTCTTATTCTTCATGAATCTAGCTAATCCCCTTTTAAAGCTGTTTATTTGTGCAGCCTTCACAACATTGTGCGTCCCTACATTGTACAAAAGGTACAAAACACATACAAGTCAAATCCCACAAATACACAAAATAAGCCAGTTCCACGGTTTCTACTTGCTATTAGCAAACTAGTCCATGCAGCAGAGCAGGTGGAAACAGCTCTGCCCTTGCAGAAACGGTCTCTCCCCCAAGCTGGCCTGCAGGATTCCTCGTTTGGACTGCTTGCAGCAGAACAGCAAAACCACAACTGCTCACCCAAAGGTGCTCACTGCTCAAGGAATGGCACTCTGCTACCCAAGGGGTCCTAACTGGTCCAGGTTCGTCTACACCTTTCAAACCTAGAAAGAATCTTTGGCTCCGAAATACCTACCTCCGTATAGCCATTAGTAGCTGGTGGTTCAAGAGGTGCGTCTCCAGAAGGCCAAGGAGAAGGGGAACCAGCTTCGGGTTTTCTCTTTGGGATAGCCGGCTGTGTCGGAATCCTGTGCAGATAGCCATAGCCGATGCCGCACCCTAAACTGCACAAGAGGTAGGTAAGTTTTAAGATGCCTTCAACCAGAAAGGCTTTCACAATTGTCCTTGACCAACCCCAACCCCCCAAGAATTCGCTAAACTGAGGCCCACTTTCACTTAAAGACATCAACCGCCAGAATTGTGATTGAGTAGCAAGAGTATCTAGTTTTATGTTAGATTCAGATGTGTAGCCGTGTTGGTCTGAACGCAGGGGTGGCCAAACCGGCTCAGGAGCCACATGCGGCTCTTTCACACATATTGTGCAGCTCCTGGCAGGACGGCTGGGGAACTGAAGGGGAGGCGTGCCTCCTCGATTGTCCTTCCCTTCCCCGGCCAGTGTTCCCCTCCTCTCCAAGCCA